TTTCTGCCTGTAATTGTGTGTTAAATTTTGTTGTTTTAGGGTTAACTTAGTTGTTTTGGGGTGTCTCCACTAAGCTCCCTTCAAAGTTTGCTGCTGCCCTGGCTTTTCTCCATGCCCTAGGAAGGGTTTGCTGAGCTTGCCCCACCTTCATGTTTGAGACTTATTATGCAGTAGAAGAGGTGTAAGACCAGATTGAGAAGAGTCTGTCTGCTACAGTTGGGTGTTTGGCCTTGTACGAAAAGAACAGGGAGGCATTAAAGGGTTGAGGGGTTACAGAAAGTCCAGTTCACTGTGTGTGGGAAAAAGATTGGAGGTAACCAGTTAAGGTTTCTTTTGCCAGTATACTTTTACCTTATAAGGAAAGAAAGGGCCTAGGGGTGTAGCTCAGTAGTAAAACACTTTCCTAATGTTCACAAGGCCCTGGGTTCCATCCCCAGAACCCTCCCCCTAAAAGTAAAATAAATATGTCTTCATTATTTCATCCTCTGTATTTTTACAAACTTAAGAATCGAAAATAAATTTAAAAATCTTCTTTAAATCTAGAAGGGAAAGGGAATAATAAATAATTTAGCCTAATGATGAGTAAACATCAGACTGAAGTAAGGGACATTTTATGCAATAAGCGGTCTGTACTTTTAATGACAGAAAGAAAACCGGGGACTATTTCAGATGCAGGAACATTAGACATGGCCTTGAAATGCAGCCTGCAGTTCTGGCCTGGGAATTTGTTTTTCTTTCCCTCATAAAAGACATTACTCTGACAACTGGCACAATTTGAATATGTGCACATAGGTACAGTAATAGTATTGTATTGATGTTAACTTCATAATTTTTAGATGAGTGCTATAGATTTTAGGAAAATGATTTCAGAAATACATAGTGGAAATCATTTCAGGGCAAGAAGCATCATGTGTGCAAGTTACTCTGAAGTATTTCAGAAAGAAGAGTGACATTTATAACGAGAACAATGGCAAAGCATGTGTGATAAATGACAGCTTGGGGGGCGCTGAGTGAATGGTGCATACAGTTCTCTGTAGTATTTTTGCAAGTTTTCTGCATGTGTGAAATTCTTTCAAGGTAAAAATGAAAAAAGAAATTGTTGCAGTCAGGAGGGAGAGCAAAAGATTAGTCAGGTCTGCCTCCTGGCCCAGGAAGTCAGGCATTAGGTCCAGGGTGAGCGAGTCGGAACCGGGGATGCCTTGGGATATGGCAACCAATGTGCCCCAGCATTTGGGGAGAGGTGCGTTTTTTCCATAGCCCCATTGCCCGCTTTCCTTTCCTCCACAGATTTGAGCTCTGTTATGCATTTGGTGTTTCACCATGCTATCTTTTTTTACTTTCTCTCCACATACATGTATAACGGATAATTGCCAATTCACTGAATAATGAACTCTAAGGTTGAGGCAGGAGGAAAATGAACTGGATTAAGACAAGGAATGTAGGCTGAGAAACTCTTGCACTAGGAATGTTTGCAAGTAGGAACCTCCTTGGAAATGAGAGCTAACGCCAAAGAATATGACTTACATATTTAAAAGAGGCATTGTACTTTGTGTTTATCTTCGGCTAAAGGAGGTCTGACTTACATGTATTGCGGACTGACTTAATCGTCCTAGGGGGCTAAAAGAGAAACAAGGCTTCTCTCCCAACTCATTTATTGTTGCCCAAGGGCAGGAAAGAGCTTCTCAGCTGCAAAGAGACAGTAGCTTGGCAGCCATACTTGTAGAAGAAAGGAAAATGTAGGGCATGTGACTCTGAGAAAACAATAAGAATTTAAGAATGACATCAATTCCTGGTGCAGGACATAAAAGTGGGAGGAGAGTTGAGGTAGTAAAGATGACAGGGACCTGATATTTTCATAGGAGAGCCCTTTGGTGATGCAGTCCTGATCTTAGCAGAGAAGTAATTCTAACAAAATGAGATTGTTCTTAAACATACAGTACACCTTCACACAGTTTGGCATTTGTTTTCTTTTGAGGTAGTCTTAAGAAGCAATTCTTAATGGAAATTAAACAAGGTTTAGTAGAAGCATGCGAACACCACCCTGAAGAGTAGAAAGAAAATTGCCCAGTGTTCCTACTGCATTATTTTTAAAACTACTTCCCAACCAGCAACATGAATTGTGTTCTAACTGGTGAAGACAGACGCACATTGACTAGAAGCAAAATACGTGAATGAACTTAAAAAAATTGGCTTGGCCTTTCCTTTAAGCCTGTGTTTGGTCCTTCTGGGTCATGTAAAAAGATTTAAGAAAGAAAGAAATATAGCCCTGGGCAATTCTGTGTGGACTAGATTTCTGCTTAGAGGATAAGCAGGAAGCAAAGGAGATAGAGGAGAAATGAGACTGGAACAATTCAAATGATTCCAAATAAGAACTCTGCTGAGCACTTCAGAGCTTTTAGTCCTCATGAAAATGCAAAATGATTAATTTTTTAATGCCATGAAACCATGAGGGGGAGATTAGCTCTATAAATTGCATAACATGCTTGCAGTGGAATGCTGTAAAGTCTTTCCCAAGGAAGAGCTTCTGCTCTGTGTGTTGCACATGGGAGGGTATTCAAAACAGAACGCTGAGCTTGTTCTCATTTTTAAGCAAAGATTTCTATAAGGCATAGAAGGAAAAAAGAACCTGAAAGCACAAACACGAAATTGTTAACAGTGCTTAAGTCAGGGTAGGTATGAGGATGGCAGTAAGATTTCCAGTTTTGATATTCCATGCTTTCCTATCCTTCAAATAATATGTCTTTTTTAATGAGAAAAAATAAAGCCATTTGCACTTTGAGAAAGAAATTCCAATAATTTTCAATGGCAGAAGTTTTAAAAAGTAAGGAATGAGTTTTGGTGCACTATATAATTGTAAGACAGGCTAAATGAGAATAGGAAAGCTGAATGTCCTTTAGAAAACAGAGAAAGCAGTGCCATGGAGAACCAGTCTATCTAAAATGGTGTATACAGTGAGTTTATAAATTGTTGACATGTGTTCTCAGCATCTACTGTGAGCCTCTGTCCCCATCCCCAAAGTTGTACAATTTGAACACCCCTGCCTGTGCCTTATTGAATTTTATACCTTCTCCCACCACAACGCATGCCCATGGAAGATATTCCACCAACTATGGGGGACTGAGCTTGGAGGACTATACGAGAGAGAAAAAGCATGTGAGCAGTGAACAAATAGCATTACTTCCAGAGGGAGTAAATTTATTGTAGTAAAATCTCAGAGTGAAAAAACTGAATCGGAGGAAAAATATCCTCTGGCATCTGCCCAAGTGTTTTTGGTTGGTCATCCTGCAGATTTTCTTAATGAGACTCAATTTAGGCTGAAATTTTATCACATATAGCTTTTGTTTTGTGCCATTCTTGGGTATTTCAATACATCCATCATATAACCATCCTTAGAGTGTACTTTGTCCTCCTTTCTTCTTCTGTGCCTGCTTTTGTTTATTCTGTCACCATGTTGTGATCGTCATAGAGACTCCAGTCTGGGCCCTGTCCTTCCAGCTGTGACCTCTGCCCTGCATTTCCTTTCCAGAGCTCCTTTTCCACTGAAGGCACATGGAGTGATTTCTTAATTCTGACTTGGGCTTTCCATTTCTAGATTGACGTCTCTCAGTGGAAACAGAGCATCGCTTCTGAGGTGTGGGTTCAGTACATACGTATTCATGAAAATCAGATGCTGGTGCTGAGAGTGCAAGTAACAGATTGCCACTGGATCTGAGCTCTGGGCCCCACGCGTTATGAAAGGAATCTGGTGAATGCTAGGTACCTTCTTCCCAGAAAAATGCACATACTTGAAAACTGTGTGGACAATTCCAGGGAGTTCACAGGCCATCTGAAGCCCATTAGTCCCCCAAAGATTTTGCATCTCTGTAACCAGGGAATTGACGCATGCTCTATTTTAGGATAGATATAAAGGAATGAACTTCCTGGACAGGAGAATTCAATTAAATACAAAAAACCATATCGATAGTATTATTCATGCTTCAGACTACATGAAGGCACAACAAACTGAAGGTAAAGTCAGACTAGAGTGTTATAGTTCATAGCATGACGTTAGAACTAGCAGGAACAATTTGGTAAAACAGAATTTGGCATATAGGTGTACAGCTAAGTGAATCGTACACTTCCGCTGTGGGTGACTCTTAAACATTGGAAACCAAGTTTTTAGGTTTAGGAATGTATTTGTGCGTGTGTGTATATGTGTGCGGGGAGAGTTTGTGTGTATTTTAAACAACTCATAGAACCAGAATCGTAATATATGTCAAAAAGGAAGTAATGAATTTCATATCCAATTCCTTTGGTATTATGGACACTAACCTTTTTTTTGGAATTTTCTTATTTTAAAGAAAAAAAACCCAAAATAACAACAACAGAGACAAAAACAAAACAAGACAAAAGTAATAAAAATAATACAGAATTTCAAAACAAGATAGGAATTAACAATGGTTGTTATGTTACATATTGTTATTATCAATGAAGTTGCTCAAATTACCAGATGTAACAATGCAAGATTGATCAAACAATTAAAGAGAATGAAAAATAAGAATTAAAAAAAAAGAAGGCCTCCAAATTCAAAGACCCAATCCAAAAATGGGCATCTGAGATGAATACACACTTCTCAGATGAAGAAATACAAATGGCAAATAAATACATGAAAAAATGTTCAACATCACTGATCATTAGAAATGCAAATTAAAATAACCCTGAGATTCCATTTCACACCAGAGAGAATGGTTATCATCAAGAAATCAACCAATAGCAAATGCTGGTCGGACTCTGGGGAAAAAGGAACCCTTCTCCACTGTTGGTGGGAGTATAGACTGGTTCAACCACTGTGGAAATCTGTGTGGAGATTCCTCACAAAACTAGGATTGGAGGTCCCACTTAACTCAGCTATTTACTTTCTGAGTATTTAGCTAGAAAAACTGAAAACATCATACCATAGAGTTATATGTGCACTCATGTTTATAGACAATAACATTTTTATGTTGCTGGTTCCTTTCCAGGATGGACAAGCTTCATTTATACCATATCTGGAGATGTGTACATTGGTAAGTTAGGAATATCTCATTTTGGCTTCAATTTCAATTTCATTTCGAGTACTGAAGGGGTAAAAGGTGTATTGAAATCACTTTACCAAATCATTGAATACTATGCCTCCTTCTCTCCCACAACAGCCCTCTTTCATTACAGCACATGTGTACTCAGGGCAAGCTGTGTCACAGCTTCCAGAATGTTCAGTGAAGGAGAACATACTACCAGTCGTGACACAGCCATTTCACTATGTCCTGTGTGCAGACAGAAGTGCACAGTTATGTGTGGTAACACCTCAGTAAGAGATTGGCAGCCTCGAAACTGATATAGGGATGGAGCTATAGTAGACTGTAATGGGAGCAGGAATCTCTTTGTCTCCTGGTAAGTAGACAGGGGAGGATTGGAAGTTCCAGATGCATCTGAGATATCTCAGAGTTGGTTTTCTCCTATCCTATGTGTATGTGTTGCTTATTGAGTCTAGTCAAGAAAGTATATCAGAGAACCAATCAACCCTCATTTTATAGATGGGCAATGTGAAATCTAAATGAATGTGCCGCAGGAGACGTGGGACCGGAACCAAAGGCTCCTCAATCCGTTTCCAGGCTGCTCCTTATAGTCTTTGTCCAATGACAGTGAGAAGCCACATCATCATGTCTTTTCAAATCAAAATCCCTTAGCTAACCGAGCAGCCAAAGAGCCAAGGAACAGCAGGTTGGAGAGAAGGGCTCGCAGAGAAGGCTGGCTGCTGCCTGCATCCATTCTAACCCTTCCCATCCTCCTAGAAGCAGCCATGGGTTTCAGAGAAAGACTGCGGGGCTGGCAGAAGACTTCTGTAACAAATGCTGTTAGTGCCCTTCCCTTATCACTGGGCCCTTGCGTCCTTAGTGGCCACTGACTGACTTTCAGCTGCTGAGATCTGTGCTGCTTTTTCTGACATCGGGGGGAGCTGCTCTGCCTCCATCAGGCTGGATGAAATGACTGGAGAATTAACATTCTGGAAGCTACCTGACTTGGGTAGGATAGTGGAGAGGCCTGTGTGAGGGGCCTGTTCCTAGACTTTCCAGGTAGGAGTATGCCAAGGTGTTCGCAGTGCGAGTGTGTCTGATGAGACACTTGTGTTGTTTACCTTCCCTTCCTGTCTCCCTCTCCTGACTTCGGCACTGTTCCCTGGGATCACCTCCCAAATAAACTCCTTGGGCCAGAACATGGGAAAACCCAAAGTAGGAGAAACAGCCCCCCACTTCCCCTCTGCATTCCCAGTGACAATGGTGGGTGGTGTGGAGCATCTCAGGTACAACCCGAGGACCCCCACTCTTGAGACCTGCATTTGGGTTCTTTTTATCCTGCTTCTGCAGGGATCTCAGCCTTGAGGTTTGTAACTCCCAAGAAGGCCGCCTTCTTGGGTAATACATTCTCTGCTCCAGGCAGCTGACTTGCTGAAAAACATCTACTTAGGGCTAAAAGACCACATCCAGGCCTCTTTATTTAAATCATTCTTTACATTTTCCTAAAAACGTGTTCAGTTGCCTGAAAATTTTCTTCTGGATATAACAGTATTTTGAACTCATCCCTAATATAGCATAAATGGGCTTTATTCCTCTTTCACTGAGTAGCATTTCAAAAGCAAAGTCCATGTAGTTTAGCATTGAACAAAGTACAAAAAATCTAATAGTGGTGTCATAAGTCCTTATGCACTCATGTTAAACTATATTAACCACTTGGAAGGGATGAGACATTATTTGTTGTGTGATCTTTTGACAAGCTTCATTTTTTTTTTTGTTACTGGCGCTTGAATCCAGGATCCTATGCTTGCCAGGCAGGCACTTGGGCCACTGAGCTATACCCCCAGCCCTTTAGGAGCTTTTGAAACTCCAAAGAATCACATAACACTTTATATGAATAGGAAAAAAGCATGTTTATGGAAGTAACCCTTATGATTTATGATTTTGAGAGCAAAAAGTAATCTGCTCAAAAGAAAAGTAATGCAGAAAATGCGTGGACTCTAAGGTGATAAGGGTTTTGGAAATGCTTTTATAGGATGAGGAAAAGCAGGGAGAAGCAGACTTTCTGTAAAGGTCCACATAGCAAATATTGTCATCTCCACGAGCTGTACATCTTCTGCTCCAACTACTCAGCTCTGCCTATGTAGCACAGAAGCAATAGATAAACAGATGGGTGACTGTTCCGTAATACTTTATGTGAATTTATGTGTTTTTAATTTATCATGAAATACCACTTCACTCATTTACAAAAGTAAAGACCATTCTCTACAGTAGCTCAGAATTGATTTTGGTTGGTATGACACTGTAGAGGATAAAATGGAGAAAAATTTACAAGTAATTTTTAAAACCAGTTTTAATCAGTAGTTGCAGCTTTGTTTCCTAACAGACTTTTAGTCCTAGAAGTCAATAAACAAAATGCTCTATAATTCTCGGGGTGAGAGTGACCCTCACATCCACTTGTTTTTCTTGAGGTGAAGCAGGATTTTCCTGAGTCATCTCTGGCCTGATCCTGTGGGCCACAAGTGGAAAACAGCTGGCAGGAGATAAGGTTATGGTCTGTAGCCTTGAATGAAGTTGCATTTGTCCAGAGTAAGCTGGACCAGGGAGAGAATCCAGCTCACAAAACTAGCCCCTTAGGACTCTGGTTTAACCAATAAGCAACCAGCCAAATGACCTCATTTGAATTTTATCTTCATCCTTTCCTCCTTCCCATCCCAGTAGGGATGTTAATGAGAAAAACAAAAATGTAAGAACAAATCACTGGAGAAAAAGAAATGACAAAACAGAAATATCTGTGGAATGCATACTGATTTGTAAAATAAAGTCTAGAAAATGCTTTCTGACTTTATTACCTCAACTTTATCTTGCTTGTAAAACTAGAATGGTACCAGCCAACCACAGATGGCAGGAACTGATAAACAAGTTAATTGTCTTTTTCGAAATGTCTAGCACCTCCAGTCTGTTGAAGTAAGTGTTGTAAATATATAATTAGGGTATCAGGATGGAACAAATAGGCTACAATTTGAGTTGAGAAAATAATCTGGGCAGACTGCATTAAATGGAAATTTAAGAGTGCTATTTAAAATATTAATTGCTACAGGATGTGCTTGAAAAGGACACTGAGAGATTTAGTTTGGCTAAGTTAATGCATCAATCAGAAAGGTGGAAGAGTTTATGTCCTGTGTCCTTGAAGCTTGGTACAGTTTATCAACGTGAATGCCAGTCCCTTAAAATGTCCAATATCATGTATACTGTTTGGTGCTTAAAAAGTACATTTAGAAATATAAAAACATTTGTCTGCGGTTATTGAAATGACAGCTAAGTGGCTTATGAAGACAGTAAACTGTCTACACTTATTTAAATAAGTAGTTATTTATACTTAGTTGGTGTTCAACTTTTGTTTGCAATTCTGAGTGGTGGTACAAAGTTTGATGTGATCTTTGGAAATCACAATAAAGCTTGGGGAAATGCACATATGTACATCAGGAGCCCTTTTAATTGTCTCCCACCTACTCAGGCGAAGACTGCCTTGACCAGAGCTCTCCATTCATTGGCCAGTACCTTGAGGAAGGTGCCTGAACACCCAGGATGATCACCTCCTCTCACTAGCACAACTGTAGGGGATTTAAAAGCAGTTCTGTTTCTTTTCTGAGAGTTTCTGCCAGTGCACCAATAATTGCACCCATGTAATTTAATTAGACAATATGAAAGTTAATAAAGTATGCAGTAAAAAGAAGTGATTTTTCTAGAACAAGTGAGTCAAATATGTTGACGGTGAATTGCTAATTAAAATGTCTTTGAATTAGTAAAAGAGAGATGACAGTAAGAGGGGAAACTGTAATAATCTAGGGACATTTAGGTGGTACACTAGGAGTGTGAGTTAAAAAAGAAAGACAATGTTTCTAACCTATCAGCAGACTCATCTTCACTATATTTATAAAATCATAAAGGAAAGTACACTTACACTTTAAAATAAAAGTGTTTGAGGCAGTTTACTGTTTTCAGTGAACAGTCTCTATCAGATAAGAGGGCGTCAACTGATACATATAAAGTTGGTGGTGTTCAGACCGGCAATGGCAATACCAGAATGTGTGCAGCAGAGAGTAAATACGCCAGCAGTGTTTATGAAGAGGAGAAAAAGAAAAAAGAAAGTCGGCATATGCCAAAGGGATGTACAACAGTCACCAGCACTACATTTAAAATAGGTTTTAAGGTATTTTTCCCCTTTCTGATTAGGTTAAAAAATTGCAATTAAATTGTTTTTAATTAAACTTTCCTTAACTGCGCTATTAAATTTAACATTCTTGGCAAAGAGTCCCAGTGGAAACTATTTACTATCTGATTTGGCTGTATTTATAGTTGAAAATAGTCAGAGACAATTAAATGTATTTTCTTTGAGACTTTTTTTAGGTTCAGGAGATAACCAGATGGGTGAAATATCATAGAAATGACCTGGAAAGGGAGATGGAATCAGTCCTTGCTGTGACCCTGTTTTAAACATTTCATATAATAACACAGAGACGAAAGGTGCACTTAAGATTATTAACCTGGAAACCCGACTCTAGTGTGTATAAGAAAGCTCTGCCTCAGGGTAGAACATTTCAAGTGACCTTTTGTACATCACCACGGTGATTTCTCTCCTACATCAGTAGGGAGGATGGGCAGTACATGCATCCCTAATGAGGTTAGGATGAGAGGGCTTTGAACAAGTCGAATCTTTTGTTTCTAAATTAAGGCTTCCACCAGGCGTGGTGGTGTATGCCTGTAATCCCAGCACTCGGGAGGCTGAGGCAGGAGGATCATTGCGAGGCCGAGACCAGCCTGGGCTACAAAGTGAGCTCAAGGCCAGCCTGAACTGCATAGCGAGACCCTGTCTCAAAAAGAAAAAAAAAAAAATAAATAAATTAAGGCTTCCTTACAAACCAGTCAATGAATACTGCAATCAAAGAAGCTATCTTGATAGGGGGTGCAGAGAAATACCAACTCAGCATTGTTTTGGAGGGCTTACTTTACTG